GCCAAAATGAACAGAGTTAATTTTTTTTTAACAAGGACTGAAGCTTAAGCTATCAAAGTTCTCTAAAGGGAGCAACTTGCTCTATTTTGTTCATTTCTGTCTTCTCAGTAAATATTCAAGGACTGGGGGGGGATGACTCCTCAGTTTACAGCACGTATTACTTTTGCAGAGGAGCTGGGTTTAATTCCCAGCACCCAAATGGCAGTTCCCAACCATCTGTTACTCCAGCTCCAAGGGATCTGACACCTCTTCTGTTCTCCATGGGTACCAGGCACATACAGGGTGTACATACATGCATGCAGGCAAAACACTCATACACATGAGACAAAATAATATAATTTAAAACATCCAAGATCATATATTCATATGTGGAGGAAAAGGGGGAGACTATAAGCTAGTTAATCCACTAGTCATGGGTCTGTTTTAATTGTGTGATAATAATTTTTATCTATATTAGTGCACTTAAAATGTGCTCTATAGATGGTTATTCATCCACAAACTGTTTATTATTAGTGAACTTTGGTTAATTTTTATGCAAAACATGAGTAAGCATTGAGAAGCTTTTTCAGCAATGTGATGCTGCTGTGATATGCAAGCAAGTGATTCTCGTGGGCCTCTGTGGTTGACCCTGGGCACAGATCAGTTCAGGTGTTGTCCAGCTCATGTGGTGAGTCACAAGTGGAACACAGTGTGTACTAGTCACAGCATCTAATTTAATCTTACCCAGGCCATTTGCCACCCACTTGCTCCTCCCCCTGGAAAATGTTTCATGCCTTTGAAGTAAAAGTCAGCAACTTATTGGGTTTTTAAAAACTGCTTCTTCACCACAGAAGCTGTAGCTACTGATTGTATGCTACAGAAGCACCGTTGAGCAGTAATTAAGTATGTGGTTCCTAGAATGAGTTGACCCATGTTTAAATGCAATGCAGAGTCTGTCACTGACCAGCTATATGGCTTTGGACAGATTGCTTAGCCTCGTGAAATCTCAGCATTCTTACATATAATATGTACAAGGAAAGTACAAAATTTAACAGGGCTTTAGTAAAAACTGAGATATGCAAAACACTTTTTTGATAAAATCTAAGAGAAATATGTACTTTTTTTTAAAAAAAAAAAACAGTGTCTCCCTATTATATAGTCCTGGCTGTCCTGGAACTTGCTGTGTAGACCAGGCTGGCCTCAAATACCCAAGTGCTGGGATTAAAGGTGTGTGTCACCACATCTGGCTGAAAAAACTAAAAGAAATATAAAACGTGCTGTTTGTAGAAAATTACAATGACAAAGTGTCATTTTTATGTCATAATACATATTACCATTGATATTTTATTCTGATGTCATAAAAATTCATGCTATATGAAAAAAGATTTTTTAAAATCTTCACCATGAAGATAATTCTATAAATATCCAGGCTTGTGTAAAGACAAACTCTTCTCAGTTATCCACATTACTTTCCCCATAAACTTTATTGTAGAAAACTTGCAAACAACAACAAAGATCACACACTGAAACTAACCAGATCCCAAGTCTGTACATTGAGATGTATAGCTTTGCATCCACATTATTCAAAGATAATGAAGATCAATTACTTCCACAGTCCCATTTGGGTTTTTTCTTTTTAAATACATTGCATGTGATAGCGAAGGGCAATGCATTTGACTTCTAGGCGGCTATTAAGAGCAGGTTCTGAAGCTGAGTGTGATGACATACACCTCTAATCACAGCACTGGAGAGCAGACAGGAGAATACGCAGCTCTAAATCATCCTTAACTACATATGAGTTTGCAGCTAGTCTGGACTGCATAGAAGTCTGCCTTAAAATAATATAAAAGAAATAAACCCATTACATTAGCAGTGAGGAGCTTTGTCACATAGACTTCTATGTGAAATAGCTCTAACTAAATAATAACAGTTTCTGTTTCTTCAGCTGCATTATCTGGGTGATGTAAGCAGGCAGGCAGGCAGGTGCACAATATGCGTTGAATGATAGGTACACACAGACAAGTCAGAGTCCTTTGTTGGGCTGGGACATAGCTCGGGGGTTGTGCAAAACTTGTGTTCAATCTCCAGCACTGAAAAATAAAGTGTTGCTTGTTTGGCGGCTCATATTTTGCCTATCGATATACTTCCTACAGCAGATGTTTATACGCAAGATCCCTTTCCTCTGTGCCTGAGCCTATTCGCATTTGCGTTTCCTCCAGTGAACCTAGTTGCCTGGTAAGAAACAGCCACTGAGCCATGGGGTTCTGAGCTCCCAGACGGAGTCAAGGATTCGTGCAACAAGCAGGTTAGATAGTGATGAGCACCCGCAGGCAGGATACAGCTGGCCACTGCAGAGATAGTCCAGTGCAGGCAGGGGAGCAGAATGTGCCAGGAGTCAGCAAAGCCTCCCTTATCAGGAGACACAAGCTTGCACTATCAGGGAACCGACAGTCACCAGGCCAACCCAGCCCTCCATAAATGGAGGGAAAAGGAATCCAAAAGGGTCTGCCTAGCTTCATGGAAGTACCTAGCATTATTTATTCTGTAGTAAAATTCAAGTGCATGCAAACTACAGAGTAGTCAGTCCCAATCAGAGGAATTTACAGCAGGCAGGAGACTGTGGGTAGGGTTGCTAGATTAACAAAGAAAAATACGATGCCTGGTTAAATTTCCATCTCGGGGAAACGAATACACTTTTTTGTACAAATACATTTCATGCAATATTTAAGATTTCTTTTTAAATCTGAAATTCAATTGTAACTGAGTATTTTGCCTGTAAATCTGAAGGGTGGTTAACTGTAGCGTCTGGACTGTGAGTTCAAACTCTGCCACATATTAGCTGGGTGACCTTGAACAGATTATTTAACCTTTCTGAGCTTCTCTTTCTCTACATATAAATTGTGGATAAAATTTATCTTACAGAATTATTAATGAGACTAAATAATAATTGTATTAAAATGAGAACAGATAATAAATGCCCAAAGATATTAGCTTCTTTTATAAAAAATATAAATGTTTTGGTAATCAAACTACCTTTTAAAACTTGGCTTTATATTCCACATACCTTTGAAAAGATCCGAGTGGAGGGCTTGTTTTCCCTCATGATTACATGATGTTTTCAACTAAACTAGCACGATTTTTAGATTCACCATCAATATCCAAAAGGAACACAATATCTAATAGTATCAATAGGCTTCCTAGTCCTTCCCTTGGTATTTAATGACTGAGCTCAGTTTTAAAGGTGTCCTAAGCTTCAAATCTCCAGTGAGAGATCTGGCTAAATATTTGCAAAATATTCCTGAAGTGTTTACTAGATGGAAGTCTTAAGCCAGAAGGCTGGGGACATGGCTCAGCAGCACAGTGCTTGCTTGCCTAGCATGCGATGCGTGAGACCCTAGGTTTTATCCCTAGAACAGGAAAAAAGGGAGACAGAGAGACAGAGAGACAGAGAGACAGAGAGATAAAGGGAAACAGAGAAACAGAGAGAGAGAGACAGACAGAGAGACAGGCAAAATAAGTAAAAAAGAAAAAAGAAAGAACATAAGGTACTAGGACAGTTCTTGGTGGAGATTTATTGCAGTAGGATTTATTTGTACTTTTCAAATCATTTAAGAAGTGCAAGTTTGAACAGAAAATTTGAGTTTCTGTATATAGAATTCTATTAGCACACACACACACACACACACACACACACACACACACACACACACACAAATAGTACAATAGAAACAGCAGTAGGTTTAGACTCTAAAAACCTGGTTTTCTCACTCAGGGTCAGTCACCTGTATGCTTCTGAGTATTTGCTTCCTGGTATGTAAGAATAATAACATTCACCTCAAAGAATGAAATGAAGTATCATTTCAGACACTACAGTATTGGGTATAGACTTAGCGCTCAATAAATGGTTACAATCAATCTATTGATTCATAGAAAGATGACCATATGCCAGACCGGCTTTAAAGAAAGATACGAGGAGTTTAGGAGATGGCTCCATCAGTGACATGCTTACCGCGCAAGCAGGAGAGTCGGAGTTCAACCCACAGAACCCATAGAAAAAACCTGGCACGGTGGCCCACACCGGGATCCTAAGGGCTGGGGAGGTGGAGCAGTAGTTCCCTGGGGCTAGTCAGCCTAGTCTAATTCATCAAGGAGCTCCAGGGGCCAGTAAGAAACCCCATTTCAAGGACACAAGGTGGAAGGCTCCTAAGGAATGGCACCCAAGATTGACTTCTGGCATCCACACACACTCCAGCACACGTGTACCTGTGCACATTTAGGGATAAGTGTGTGTAAACACACACACACACACACACACACACACACACACACACACAAAGAAAGAGCCTGGGGCTTACTACTTTATATGGCTAAGCTGATACTCCCTACTCTGTACATGTCTGATTCTGGATGAGAACCAGTAACTTCTAAACAATGATACAACCTAAAGAGAATGCAAGGACAGACTCCATCCATATTCTTCATCTTCAGTGCTGTGTGTGTGTGTGTGTGTGTGTGCGCGCGCGCGCGCGCGCGTGCGCACGCGCACGCAAACACATATGTGTTTTGAGGCAGCAGTGCAGGAAGGCAGTAGTGGAATGGAGTTAAGATGTAAGATCAGAAAAAGAATTAAAAATTGTCCTTTTTCCTTTTGATAACTTGTTGAGCTGGACACCAAACTTGCAAATAGGATCCAGAAAGTGGAGAACACTGCCAGTAAACTCATGATGTTAATTTTGAGCCAAGAAAGCATATCCCAAATTTAAACCAGACTCAGAATATTTTTCCAGTTTCTACTGATTATGCTTGTCATAGATTAACTAAAGGGAGAATATACTAGAAAGAGAAATAGGGAAGATATAGAATTCATGAGACTACTTAAGGTCAAAGAATGCAGAGCTCTGTGTTTGTATCTGCTGCTAACAAATGAGGCTCACACAACAGAGTGTTATTTTCTGAGGAGAAGGGGGTGTGTGAGGGGTTTGCCAAGGCAGTCACCAAGAGGCTTGGCCATTTTGAGCTGAGAGGTCATATGGATTGCTTGGAATTTCAGGGCATTGCAGGGAGGATGGTGAACTAGGGGAACAGAGCTGGTGACTGTGGAACGGACTGGAAGACAATTTTGAAAGTTGGTGAGTCAGCATCTGTATAGTGTGTATCAGCTGTGCACCCTTTGATACGTCACGGGAATACTATGCTACACGGAGCATAATGCCAGCACTCTAGGGGGAAGGCAGCCTGTGTGAGTCAGGAGAAAGATGGAAGAAAAGGTAAAAGAAAGGTTCAGTGACGAGAAGATTAAGAAATATTGAGTAATTTAAAAAAAAAAAACGTGTGTATGTGTGCATGTGTGAATATGCACACATGCGCCAGAGTGTGCAGAGGTTAACCTCAGGTGTCCGTCCTCAATGTCTGCATTGTTTGAGACAGGGTCACTTCGTTGTTTGAAGTTGCCTGTGCCAGGCTAGCTGGACTTGGGCTTCTAGGGATTTTACTATCCCACCTCTCAGCTCCTTGTGGGAGCATCGCAATTACAGATGTATGCTGCCACATGTTTTTGAAGAAAGCTCAGCTTGACATAGCTTCTGGGGACTCAGACAGGTCCTTGTGCTTGGACCCGAGGCACTTTACCCTGGTGTCATCTCTCCAGTCTGGGATTAGTATTTGAGTTAAAATAAAAAGGAATAGGGCTGTATTCTCAAACAGAGACTAGAATTTGAATTTGTTATCAGAAAGACATTTTAATAATAATAATAATAATAATAATAATAATAATAATAATAATAATGTTCCAGGTACACATAGGATGCAATTGAAGGCCTGACTTGGGCTTTGAATATAGTCAGAGGCAGAGGTGAAGCATGTCTCAAGTCCTTCCCTTGCCTCCTGCAACCTGGGTGTGTGGTGTGAAGGGGGAAAAGCCAGGGTGTGCATGTCTCTCACAGACATCTGAAACAAATCATGTCCTCCCTTGGGTTGCAGGGTTTCTCAGCTCCCCACTTTTGCCTGCTCCTCCCAGATCTGTAATTGCGAAATAGACAGATTAGCACAATTTCAGCCCTTGTGAGTATCTCACTAATGCTCACTTGCTGACTTTAGTGATTTCCAGAACTCCTTCTTGATCTTACTGTCAGTTCAGGTTCATCACAGAAAGAAAGTCTGTAAGTGAGGTGTGGGAGGTCAGCTCCTCAGTGAGGCATTGATAGGGAAATGAATTCAAAGAAATTCTCTGGGTCCTTTCAAGATTCTAGTTCCCTAATGCCCTTAAGCACAAAAGTGCTAGGTGTTATATGTCCTGATGAGCTGGCTCAGGCAAATACCAGTATTGTAAATGATACCTTCGTTTCTCAGAGTTTCACAGCTTCCTCCAACCTGACTGAGAAGGAAAACTCACATCTCTGAGCTGTTACACTAAAACTATTGGCAGCCAGAAATGTGAAAACAGGGCCTGGTCTTAATTTGTCACACCACACAGATTTTTAACACATCAGGATAATCATAACAACACAATGTTGTCGCCTGATAATCTCTCCTCTGCCCAAATAGAGCATCGTGGACAGAGCATGGCTGGCCCTGCAGACCCTATGTGTGCTGGGAGGCACATTCTTTGCTTGAGAGCTGGAGATGAGGTGGTGCAACTCGGCTGTGCAGTGCCAAGATGCAATGCAAAGCAGTTGGGGAGATGTAATTCTCTGATAGGAAAGAACAGAAGCCGTTCACCAGGCCTGTGAGAAAGTGTTTCCACAGCTGCTTATTGCCAGAGGAAAATAAGCAACCTTCAGCTAACTTCTCAACCCGGGCTATGACAAGAAGTCAGCCTTGTCATAGAGGTGGAGAGAGGTTTTGTACTGGTTGTCTGTTGTTGTGTTTTGTTTCTGGTTTTGTTTTTGAGACAGTTTTCACTATAGCCCAAGCTTGCAACTACCAGTAGTTCTTATGTCTCAGCTTCTCAAGTGCCGAGATTCCAGGCATAAGTCAATCATGCCTGACTGGGGAAGTCCTTTATGGATAGTTTCCCTGTCTTTAGACAGCATTACACTTAAAAGGATCTGAGTCTGGGGCTGGGGATATAGTTCAGTTGCTAGATTGCTTACCTAATGTGCACAAAGCCCTGAGTTTAATTCCCAGCAGTGCATAAATCAGGTGTGGGGGCATATACCTATAATCCCAGCAGAATCAGGAATTCAAGGTTATCCTTGCCTGCATGGTGAATTTGAGGCCAGCTTTGGCTGCATAAAACTTTACCTTTAAAAAAACAAAAGCAAAACCAAAACCAATCTGAGGCCATAGAATTTAAATCTAGTCAAATGAAGACATACATAAATAAAAAGTACTGAAGGACAATTAGCAAAGAGTCTTGATTAAAGACAAAGATACAAGGTCTCCTTTCATGGCAACTTACTTCCCCAGCCGCCCCTGCCCCTTCATCCAAGCTACCAAGTCCTGGAGTGTAGGATCAATCCTGGCTGCTTCCAGGGCAACTGCTCAGTGGCACTAAGCACTCGGCTTGCCCATGGTGATGACAGTGACATCTTCACCGAGGGCAGCATCCATCAGATGCGCCCTCCTGCTGCTCGGCTCCCTTCAGAAGCCTTTCATTCGAGGTTCTAATTTTTAAGATAATGGGAGGTTAATGGAGATTATTTTGATTTCCTCTTACCAACCAAAGCTTTTGTATCTGGATCCTGCTGCCCCAGCTGGGCTGCCTAAACAAACATATTCAGAGCAAGCAGAAGCTGAACCAGGATACATCAACGTTACCTTAGAAGGTACCACTCTATTTCGCTTTGGCCTGTAATGTGTTTGTATCTCCGGCTATTTTGATAACTGCTTTGGATCCTTCTCTCCACTCAACAAACATACATAAGAGAGATGTGGATGTAGGTCAGTGGTAGACTGCATGCCCGACACACACAAAGGCCTGGAGTTTAGTCACCAGCACCAGAAAGCTTACTGTCTGAGACACACATGAGGCTCGTTTTGCATTACTATGTAGCAGTCTATGAGGTAAATTGGCCTTTGGAGATTTTTAACTTGCCCAAATAATTGACAAAACATGAAATTGTGTAACTCCACCATCCTCAGAAGACTGTGTCCTCATAAAATCAGGGCTTGGGCCTCACTTTCTTAGCTACTAGCAATTAGGACCATTCAGACAAATCCTAAATCCTGTTAGCCTCTTCAGCTCTGTGGTCAGTAATTGCTTTCTGGCAGGATACCATGTCGGTCTTCTGTGTGAGTCAGAGGGGAATTATTGTGACTAGCTTGAACTCTGGGCAGTAGATCTATGCTTCACACCTGAGCCAACAGCAGTCCAGCAGTACAGAGTCAGAGAGGCAGAGTGGAGCCACGGAAATGGAGAGGAACTAGTGTTCCTTCAAGGGCCTCCAAAGAGTCAACAGATGCCTTTGAAATACCTTGATGTCACTTTAGATGCAGAGCCTAAGAATGTCTTTTGCCCTCATTTGGTTTTTTGAGAGAATCTCATGAAGCCCGGATTTGGTCTTAAATTTGGGATAGACTCCGAATCTTCCTGCTTCTGCTTCTCAAGTTCTGGGATTACAGGTGTACAGTACCACACCCAGGCTTAGACTGCCTTAACTCATGGTTATGAGGATAAATTCATAAGATGGAGAAGTTGCCTCCAAACACTTGGTGACAAAGTTGTCAATAGTTGACATTATTTAGAAGAATAAGGAAAATGGATATCGAATGTTATGGAATATTAGTTTAAGATGTGTTACGTTCATTTATGCTGTGCGATATTTGCTTAATGATGCAAAGATGTGTTGCATTTTTTTATGTTGTATTTGTTTAACTCTGTAAGGCTGTGTTACTTGCCTGCCTAAAACACTTGATTGGTCTAATAAGGAGCTGAACATCCAATAATTAGGCAGGACAGGGATAGGTGGGCTGCCAGGCAGAGAGAATAAGTAGAAAAGCAAAGAAAAAAAGAAGAGAAGGATCAAGAAAAGGAGGTGAGGAGGAAGCCAGGGGCCAGCCACCCAGCCACCCAGCCAGCCATGGAGTAAGAAGGAAAGAAAAATATATAGAATAAGGAAAAGTTAAAATCCCAGAGGGAAACCATAGTTAAAGAGAAATGGGATAATTTAAGTTAGAAAAGCTGACTAGAAACAAGCCAAGCTAAGGCTGGGTATTCATAAGTAAGAATAAGTCTTCATGTATTTATTTGGGAGCTGGATGGTAGGCCCCCAAAGAGAAAAAAAATCAGCTACAACCAAGGAAGGCCACAGTGGATGAGAAGTGGGTAAAGCATTGGAAGCCTCGTCAAAGATTCCAAGCTCCAAGTGTCAAGAGATGAGAACTCATTTGTGTTGAACGATGTGGATGACGGTGATATTTTGTTTTTGTTGCTAAGGGTGCAATTTGAACTCTGGACATTCTATTAAAGTTAGTTTCTAGTATAGGCAGAGTGTAACAGCAACCTCCTAATAGGAATTTGAACAGAAAGATGGCAGCAAGTTGGGGGGGTGAGGGGCAAGGAGCAGTGACAGGGTGTGAACAAGGCAGAGTCTTAGGCTGACAAGAAACAGTTGCCAGATTTCAAAGCTTGCCATGAGACTGACAGCGCTGAGGATCTGCACAGGGACTTGGCTGTCAGCCCTTCTGATGGTCACAGATAGGACAGCTTTCTTGCAGAATGCTGCACACGTCCTCGGCTGCCTTCCTGGGTACGTGGATGCTGACGGTGCAGGTGGAGTCCTCTCCACAGCAGCCCCAGCCTCCTCCTGCTTACCCACTTCCTCTTTTTCAAACTGCTTCTCATCAGAGAGGCCGGGGCCCATTTCAGTGGCTTTGGAGATGGTACATTGTGAGTGATTCTTGCAAAGTGCTCCTTGTATGCTTTCAAAGTTTATCGCAAGAGAGATAAAGAATAGGGGCCTAGAGTAAATAGATGCTTACATGTGCTTTAAGTGAGTCGGAAATGAAGCCCACATGAACATGACCTGGAAGACAACTTCCAGGGTTCAAGTTGAGCAGGATTCTACAGACATACAATCATGCTGTTTTGCTTCTTTTATTTAAAACAGACAAACAAAAAATAGATGATGCCTCCTTATTTGGCATTGTACCCTGCAAGTTTTAAATCACCGTCCTGAACATTTCAACTGTTTGTATTTCCAAACAGATGTTCATGCCCCAAACTTGGAGGACAAGTGAAATTATTTTTATAAAGAAGAAGATGATATAATCACTCTACCTAACATCTCTACCTGGACAAAAACTGAAGTTTAATTTTCAAGATATAGATAACCCTCTGTTGACACTCTACTGCATTCTAGAATGCCCTACTGGTCTCCTCAGCCCTGACTTCATTTGGGACCTTTCTTCTCAGAATAACAGTAAACAGCAATTACATTTTACAACATTGTGAAGTTGATCAGTTCACTCAAATGTGGTGACAGCTGGATAGCAGTCACAATTTCCCTTCCTTTTCACTCCTCCCACGTGCCGGGAAGCCAAGGCCAGGAAGGACAGGTGAGACCAGGCTTCGGGGGTCTGGACCAGCTCCAGGAAGCAAGCCTCCAGCCCAGCTGTCATCTGTGGGAAGTGGCTCTTGGTTGAGCAGTGGTACTTTCCAGTGTCAGCACTGTGTCAGCAGCCCAGACTCCGCTCTGAGGGGCCCCACGTCCTCAGCCATCTTTCATCTCGGGAAAATTCTCTGGTCTAAAGAGCTTAGTCTCAGTGGGGAGGGAGGATGGGGCCTCAGTGAAGCAGATGGTTGGGTACTTGAACAGCGATCTCGTACGGAAAGGAGACTCTGAGAAGTGACAAATGGGAGGTAATTGGGTTGGAACTCATTTTTGTTCTTATAACTCTGACAGAAACCTGACATGGCTTGCACTGTGATCTCTTAATAAAAGGTCATTACCATGCCGTGACCCAACTCACTTGTCTTGCACCATACGTGTGGGACACACCCTTTCCATTTAGGAAAACTATATATTGGAGTAGATCTTCTTGAAGTGTTGTTTCCATCTTCCAGAGAAGAGAGAGAGAGAGAGAGAGAGAGAGAGAGAGAGAGAGAGAGAGAGAGAGAGAGAGAGACAGAGACAGAGAGACAGAGAGACAGAGAGACAGAGACAGAGACAGAGACAGAGAGACAGAGAGAGAGAAAGAGAGAGAGACTAGTCCAGGTAGACATGGTAGCCAAATAATTCCAAGGCCGCTGGACTTGGCTCTTCTGAAGTGGGAAAAGAATGAGTTATATATGAGTTATATTGACCAGGAAGAAAAGGTGAGAGCAATGGGCTCTGTGTTTCTTCTCCCCCTCCTCACCATGATCTCTTGCCTCAGAACAGGAGGAAAGCGAACCAGCAGTGAATGCCCCTCACTCAGTGCATTCTAACTTGGTGTCTCAGCTGTGTATTAGGGAAGGGGAAGAGACAACTGACGTTTACCTAGGGCTAACTCAACTTGTTTAAACAGTTATATTTTATCTAAATAATTTCGTTGAATACTTGGGTACAAACCCCTACTGGGTTAGCATTGTTATTCCCATTTTCAAAAAGAACTCTATTAGACTCTTGCAGGTAGTTAGGAAGCTAGGAAGTCAAACTTTAAAACCCAAGGCTTCCTGACTCCACTTTCTTTCCAGCTGTCTTGCTGACAGGCCCGCTCTAAATGAACATGCACTGGGTCCTGAAGTGTGTCCACAGGGAGAAGACTGTGAATGAGTGCAGTCTCCTTGCTCACTATGCACCCGGCCATCCCTGATGTCAGGGAGGAAATGAAGGGCCATTTTAAAATTCTGGTTGGCAGAAGGAGCTGATGATTTAATGAATGTGTTTTATTGCAAAGTGTGAAGGGCTAGTCCTGGCATCCAAAGGTGGATAAATCTGTGAAGGGAATATGCTATGACTTGTTTGTTGAAAATTTAATTATCCTTAATGACTTGTCAGTAAATTTAAGAATGCCTTAAATCATACCATTCTTACTCTTGCCATAAAAAGAATAAAACAGCTGAATTTATAAAAGGTTTATTATCTGCTGGGTATTATTCTTTATAAGGGTCATTTAATTCTGCAAGATCCTATCTGGAAGATATAGTTATTTTACATTTGAAGGCCCAGGTAAAAAAGCACAGAGAGATTGAGAAACTTGCCCAAGGTTGCACAGGAAGGAAGTGGCAAAAGGGTGACCTGAACTTTCAAACCTGGACTCCACCAACTGCTCTTTCTGTTACTTGCCGTTAGGGAAGATCAGACAAAGGTAGGAAGGTCTGTTTCTATATTTGGAAAAATTCTTCTTTTCTCATTGTCCATTCCTAGAAACCTTTCACAATACTAAGCTATGCTAACTTCAAGACACGTCTACTGATGATCACTCTTGAGTCCTTCATTATGTATCCTTGCGTCTCTCTTTCCTTCTCATCATATCTCCAGCATCCTCCTCTGCCCTTGTGAGTGATGGGTGGCTGTGGACTAAGACCTCTTTTCCCAATAGTAGAATAGTCAATGCCTGAACACCCACGGGCACAGGCACTAACACAGAAAATCCCACTATCACCAGGGAGAGACGAGACAAGTCATTCATTCACACTGAACACTGTGAGGGTGACGAGTGGTTTTTTTTTTTTTTTTGGTCAGGGTTTCTCTGTGTAGCCCTGGCTGCTCTGGAACTGTCTGTAGGCCTGGCTGGCCTACGAACTCACAGAGATCTGCTTGCCTCCCGAGTGCTGGGATTAAAGTCCTGCTCCACCACCGCCTGGCTCAAATGAGTTCTCAGGTTGTCTAAAACTAAGTGTGTGGAGCTCACTGGAGAGGGACTGAGCCTTTCCAGAGAGGCCTGAAGCTATCACCTTCATGGAGCTGGAGAGAGACAAACCACGGGTTTGCTCTTAGCAGCTGAAACTTGCATCTGCTCGGCTTTCGTCTACAGACAAGACTTGCAAGATTACTCATTCCGCCCAAATGTGTAGAGAAAACAGTTTCCTTTTCTTCTAAATCACTATGATGTCCCTTCTAAGCCCTCACCCAATGACTAGCAAGAAGGAAAAGGCTAATTTTAGCTACACAGGGTTTCAAACTTAGTCTGATTCAGCTATTTGAACAATATCTTTTGACTTCTGTGTCTTGGAGATAACGTGAAGTCCTTCCGATTCTCCCATTCTGCTTGCTCCGTTCTAGATGGTACCCACTGTTCTGAGGCCAAGTTCACCAGGCCACCTCCCCCACAACTCTGCCCTCATAAACATGGCAGTGTGGGGCCAGGACACAGTGGTCTCCTAGCAAAGGAATTCAAGGCAGAGACAGTGTGGCAAGAGCTCTCTTGATCGTCATGTCAATTTACTTCATCCCATGGGCGGAAACCTGAAGGGGGAGGCACCAGAGGGCACAGGGACTCCCTGCCTGGCATGTGGCTGTCCCCTTCCTCTTTTCCTAGCAGCAGCTGGAGAGGAGGTCTACTGGCTTCTGTCCCTGGCAGGGGATATTCTTTTGATACCAGAGAAACCTCAGTTTTTGAACTTGAAAAGAGTACTGAGGATCCATTTATTTATTTATTTATTTATTTATTTATTTATTTATTTATTTATTTATTTATAGCAGTAGTTGACTTACTAGGTTGCTAAGCTTCCAGGTGGGGCTTTTGGGGGAAGTGGGCTAGAAGAAGGACTCAGAGAGCAATGAAAATACTGTTTGCTGAATATTGTCCCCATAATGCCAAGGTAGTCTTGGGATGGTTGAATGGATTGCTTATGTGTAGTTAAATATGCTCCTCAAAGGGAAATGTAAGGCACAAAGACAAAGACTCTGCTATTTTTTTGTGTGTGTGTGTTTTACCAACTTTTGTACTAACCAGTTTTTCTATCCTTAAAATGGTAAAACTGCTGTATGTACCTCACTGCACAGTTACAAAGTATAAGACCATTACCATATATCCAGAACGTAAGACTTTTACCGGTCTTGGAAGAAGCACTCAAAAACATTAGCTATTTGGAGTCTAAAAATGAATACCATATATCTCAAACTTTAGAAACACGCTGTGTATGGTGAAGGAGAGTGCGGGTTTACAAACTATCTGAAGTTGCATAAACCCAAGCAGTTTGTATGTCCACGGTGAGCCTTTCTGAGAAAGACAGAGAAGGACATCACTGGGCAGGTGTGTATAATGGTAACTCTTCCTTGTCAACGTGACTAGATTGAGAATCACCTAGGAGATGTAAGTCTAGGACTTCCTGTGGGGGTGTTTCAAGAGAGGCTTAAGTGAATGTGGGCCGTGCCATCGCGTGGCCTGGAGTCCTGAGCTGACTAATGGAAGAAAGGAGAAAGCAAGCTAAGCATCTGCTTGCGTCTCTCTCTGTTCCTTGTCTGTGGATGCACTGTGACTAGCTCCCATCAGCAGGCCTCCGGCACCACGACAGACTGTTCCCCTCAAACTGTCAACCAAAATTCCTTCCTTCCTTAAGTTGCTTCCAACAGGGATTTTGTCACAACAGAAGTAACTTCTATGCTGTAAGAATCAAATTACGTACTGCACATAAGCATTGAGCCAAGAGTGACACCCAACTGAGGCTTGGTGCTCTTCTTCTTTCTCCTTATTCAGCAACATGCTGTCTCATAACGAATGACTATATCAGACAGCGATCTTGAGACTTATGACTGCCACAATATCCTATGGCAGAAGTTCAGTAAAGATTTTTGTGTAACAGATTCAAATCAATCTCCAAAGCGAGGGCTCAAGGCTGTAAAGTTTTCTCCGTTCAATGCTACTGGTTAGAGGACAGATGTTTCCTGCTCCCCACCAACAACTTCAGCCATCTTAGGCACATCTCCCCTCCAACCTTGTTTCTTCATTACAGTTGCCCCGGGCTCTGTTGGAGGCATTTGGTGCCTGCTTTAGTCACACTGCTCAACCCACACTTGGAGAGAAAAGTGTTTGCATAAATACTAGCAGATGAATTTTTTAAATCTCACGTTTTCTGTCCTGGCACTCTGCGAGGGAAATGAACAAATATAAACAGACAAGCATTGCATCAGAAAGACAGCAGATGGGCTTCTGTGGGACCTGGACTTCCCACATTTGGGAGGGGTAGGATTATGACAAAATCCAATTGTAATATTCTTGCTTTTGACTTCTCAGCCACGACGTTAATTGCTTAAAGACTTGGCTTAATCCACACTTTCAGCCCAGGTTTCCCCTTGGGGAAACCAGCAGGATGCTGGAAGCTCTCTCTCTCTAGGAGAGACTGCCTGCTTAAGTCTAACATAAACTCAGTTTGACTCGGGAAGCATGGAAAAAAGAGAAGAGTTTGTTTTCCCTCCGTGCGAGGGCGAGTGAGAAGGAAGCCTTCGTTTCCTGTTTCAGATGGCTTCATGCTTATGACCTAGAGTCTACAATGGATATTAAACATGGGAACTGATTACACATACTCCTTCACTTTCCTTGATTTGGGCCATTTTGGTTTAAGCCACATACCCCAGGGGATGCATTTATCCATGAAGGACTTATCATGAGCTATTCTTAACACCAACCTGTGCTTTTGGCCCAGAAAATATTTTCAGTCGTCCATACAACAAATTTCCTGGAGCATCTAGCTGTAGACTAACTAGTAATGTCCATCCCCTCCTCCAGCTCAAATGTTGATACCCAGTCCCCATTGTTGATGGTGTTTCCAAACAGGGCCTTTGGGAGGTAATTAAACATGAGGTAGAGCCCTGATGAATGGGTTTAATGCCTTTATAAAAGAGAACTCAAGGCCAGCAAGACGGCTTCAAGCTGCCAGATCTGATGACCTGAGGTACTTCCTGGGACCCACATGGTTGAAGGAAAAAAACCAACTCCCACAAGTTGTCTTTGGACCTGCACATGCACTCTGTGGCATATGCATGCATGAATGCCCACATGCACATGCATGCAAAATAAATTAGATA